AGCATTTATAGAAAGCAAGCTCCTTTCTCTTCCAATTCTCACTGGAATGAAGGCAATCAGTGCATGGTTGTGAGTGCCTGCTTTGTGTAAGGCTCTAAATATAAAAATTTGCATCGGATGTAGTCCCTGTTCTCAGGTGACTTACAGTATAGTGGCAGAGACAGACATCTAAATGAGCAATTAGAGTTCAGTGTAGTGAGTGCTGATGGAGGAAAACATTGAGTTCTGTGGGAATAGAAATTTAAAATAAATGCATTTAAATTAGCCTGGGAGAGGAGGAGGAACGGAGATCAGGATAAACCAAATCTCAGTGGCTTAATACTTGTTTATTTCTTACTTACTCTTCATATCTAATGTGGTCACCAGGGGCCCTGCTCTCCGTGGTCTGCCAGAGACCGAGACTGCTGGAGGCTTCAGCCTGGTGCCTGCTCTGAGGCAGGACAGCGGCGGGAGGCGGCTGCGGCGGTTTTACACACTGGCTTTACAGCTTATGCCCGGAAAATGTGTACCATTACTACTCAGGTTTTATTGACCAAAGCAAGTCACAAGGCCGCATTTAAGTTCAAGAGGGTCATGAAGCTTTCCCTTTGGGAAAACAGTCAGAAATCTTTGGTGACTATCATCGTAGGGGTTTTTAGATGTGACTTTTAAACTTCGATTAGAACACGAATGAGCATCAGGTGGGCCAAGGAGCTGGGGAAAAAGCAAGAGTCAGAGGGAGCAGCAAATCAAAAAGCGTGAAAATATAAAAGAGAACATGGTGCTTTTGGATAATTCGTATTTGTAAAGTTATGTATTAACAACATTGATCTAGAAATGTTGACTTAATCCTCATAATGACCTTGTGAGGGAGGCTTCATAGATCAGAGAAGACACGGAGCACAGGAGGCCACCGTTTGCGGGTGGCAGAGTCAGGATCTGAACCCAGACAGCCTGACTGCAGAGTCCTGTTCCTCCCTGGGGAATTCAGCAAGCGGGACCTAGTGCTCCAGGGCAGGGGAGGGCCCGTGCCAAAAGATGTAGCAAGATAAGCAGGAGAAGACAGTGTTTTTCCTGAGGCATTAGAAGTCCTTAAATATATTTAAACAGGGGAGTGACATGAACAAATTTGCACATCAGAAAAATCACTGGCTAAATTTCAATTCCTCCCCTCTCCCCTACTATTCACTTGAACTCTCTAAGTCCCTCTTTATCAGTGGTGCTCATTTGTGCCACCTGTCCTGCAGCTGACGGATAAAGAATGTGCAATTTCAATACAAAGTTTAGGGGTTGTTCTCCTAAGCTCTTCTTAAGCTGGCCTTAAAGGCAGATTCATGTGCACACACATATCTGTGTCCCCTTCTCTGCCCATTGCATCTGTGAAGCATCTCTGCGACAATTTTCCTTTGATCACAGAAGCTGTTTCATTCTGAACTGCGATTGCTTTAACCCAGTTACTCAACTTTCAACAATGAATACAAATGAGTTTTCCTAATACTCGTGGGGAACTGTTCCACCAAAATGAGACAGGGTCTTGCTCTGTTGCCCAGGCTGGAGTATAGTGGTGCCATTGTATCTCACTGCGACCTCGAAATCCTGGGCTCAAGAGATCCTCCTGCCTCAGCCTCCCCAGTAGCTGGGACTACTGGCACTTGCCACCACACCAGGGTAATGTTTTAAAATTGTTTTGTAGAGCTGGAGTCTCACTGTACTGCCCAGGCTGGTCTCGAACTGCTGACCTCAAGCGATCCTCCCACCTGGGCCTCCCAGAGTGCTAGGATTACAGGCATGAGCCACCCATCGCACCGGGCTGCTCCACCAAATTTAATGCACCCATCACAAGTTTTTTTTTTTTAAGTTCTTACTGATGCTACTTGTATAAACGCATCACTAGTGTGCCTATGGGATGATAGTATGTCTTCCTCCATGCCCCACTGCCCCTTCCTTGAAGGGAGCCATTACGCCAGTGTCTTTTCTTGGCCCATGTTAGAATTAGAGTTAGGGGCTGATGGAGGCCTGGGGAACCACCTCTCTGTGGAAAGGATCTGCTTCTCCCAGTGGCCTTCCTTGCTTTCTGGGCCAGTAAGGTCCAGGTTTTGGTTAACCATTCAGTGGATTTTCACTGACAAACATAATAATTAGAAAAAATGGGAACATGTGATTTGTCTATAGTCTGTCTGGAATCACAGGAAATACGTTTGACCTGCAGACCTTTGCTTTTGAAACTTCTCCCTTACACTGCTGATCCCTACCATGTTGCTCTCTCCTGTCACATCTTTCCCAGAGCCCGCAGGACCAGTTTCCTGTTCCCTTGCCTTCTCCCCTGAGGTGAAGAGACTCTGAGATGGCCCTGTGTGCCCTTACCTCCTCCAGTACTTATGTCTTTGTGTAATCCCCCTTGGGTGTGGGCAGGACCTGTGATTTTTAACAGAATACAGAAAGGTGATGGGGTGTCACTGCTGTGATGACATTGCACGAGACTGCAGTGTCCCTCTTTCCAGGAGACCCCTTTTCTGGCTTTCGTGAAACAGGTGGCCATATAGGGGAGTTCCCTTTTGCAAGGAACTGAGGGTGGCTTCAGCTGATAACCAGCAAGAAACTGAGGCCCTCAGTCCCACAGGGCACAAGGAACTGATTCTATCAACAATCACACAAACTGGGGAGCAGATCCTTCTCCCTGGTTGAGCTTTGAGATGAGACTGTAGCCCTGGCTCACACATTGCTTGCAGCTTTCAGCTGAGACCCTGAACAGAAGACCCACTTGAGCTGTGCCTCGTCTCCTGACCCACGGAACTGTGAGATAATAAATGTATGTTGTTTTAGGCTGCTAAATTCATACTAATATTTATTGCTGTGTAGCAATAGATAGATTTCTGGTCATGTCATCTATGTAGTCCCAGAGTCATCCTCAATTTCTCTGTCGTCCCTAAAATCCACAAGGCCTTCCCTTAGGGCATGCCACTCCCATGTACTATGGACATTCATGTTAATAGTTATCAAATTGAAGAGAAACTCCTGAGCTTTACACCTTTTCTGGCCAAAGGCTGCCTATAGCCAAGATACTGGCCTGGACATTGCTTGCAGGAGCGGCAAAAGATGGCAATGGAACTAATGGTCTGCTTAGCATCTTCTGTCTGTACGATTCCTCCTGATGTCACCATGTCTCCCTGCCCATTCGGGCCCTCTGTCCCTCACCAGAGAGGTCCTTGGCTTCTGGTTCATAGGGAATAGCAGTCCAGCCTGCAGGTCTCTCTTAGACTGGAGGCTGCTTAAATGACTTTGCCTGTGACAGGAGGATTGCTTGAGCCCAGGAGTTTGAGGTTGCTGTTAGGCTGACACCATGGCACTCTAACCTGGGCAACACACAGACTCTGTCTCAAAAAAGAAAAAAAAAAGAATCTTTAAAACCACCTATAACCTATAAACCTCCTTCCCCCCATCTCCCCCAATTCCAGATGGCCCACCTTTTTGGGCCAAGCCAATGTATGCCTCCCACATATTGATTTATGACTTTACCTGTAACCCGTCTCCCTGAAATGTATAAAACCAAACTGTAAGCCAGCCACAGTGAGTCCACTAGCTCAAGGCTTCTTGGGCATGGCTCCAGGTCACGGTCCTCAAATTTGGCTCAGAGTAAATCTCTTTAAAATTATTTTACAGAGTTTGACTTTTTTTCCTGTTGACATAGGGTATGATTTGAATTTTAAAGATATTAATAAATTGTTCTCTGAAGTAGCTATACTTTTATTTTACAAGTTCACCTGTAGAAAATATCTAGCACTTTCCCAAGGGTTGTGGACACTTTAGAAACATCTTAATTTTTTTTATCTGATAGGTGGAAAAATGTTCTCTCATTTTAGTTTGTAGTTTCTTGGATTATAATTACCTTTTAAACAATCTTTTGGCCATCAATATTTCTATTTTGTAAATTGTTCATAGATTTTGTCCATTTTTGAACTCAGTTATCTTAATGATTTATAATTCTTTATATAATCTTTACACTAGTCCTTTGCTTTTGTCTCACTTATCATTTATTTGTGTCTTATCATGAAAGTTTTAGCATTTGATCCTACTCCATTGATAAATCTTCTTATGGTTATTTTTCTTTTTATGTCTTTAAAGAAACTTTTCCTATCCCATCATCACAAACATTCTTACATTTTCATCAATACTTCAATAGCTTTGTGTTTAATGTTGGGCCTTAAATTCCAGATTAATTTTAGTGAATGGTGTAAAATAGGACTCTATTATTTTTAATTAGTAAACAATTGTCCCAACTCTATTGGCCAGCTCACCAGTTTGAAATACTGCCTTTATCACACTAAATTCCTATATATACATGGGTCTGTTTCTGAACTCCAGTTAAATTCATCAGTACTACACAGTTTTACTTAGTATCTTTACCAAGTCTTCGTATGGGCTCCAGTCCCATTTGAAAAACCTGCTCTCTCCAACTGTGCAATCTTTTTCTTTTTTTTTGAGACAGTCTGGCTCTGTCACCCGGGCTAGAGTGCCGTGGCGTCAGCCCAGCTCACAGCAACCTCAAACTCCTAGGCTCAAGCAATCCTTCTGCCTCAGCCTCCCAAGTAGCTGGGACTATAGGCATGCACCACCATGCCTAATTTTTTCTATATAGATTTTGTTTTCCAGCTAATTTCTTTCTATTGTTTTAGTAGAGATTGGGTCTTGCTCTTGCTCAGGCTGGTCTTGAACTCCTGACCTCAAGTGATCCTCCCGCCTCAGCCTCCCAGACTACTAGGATTATAGGTTGAGCCACCGCGCTCAGCCCAACTGTGCAATCTTTATTTGTGGTACCCACTCTCAAGGCTTGGGCATGAACCTCTAGCCCTTGAACTCAGTTGAGGAGTAGGAGGATGTCAATGTCATGGTCATTCAACTGACATCTTTTTTTTCCTTTTTTCCCTGCCTTGAAATAATGTAAGCATACATCTTGATAATTCTCCACATATTCTTACTCTAGTTTGAACCTTATACCCAAGAGAAATCCAGCTGGACACCAGTAGCCCAAGTGCTATTTATTGAAAAGAACAAAGACAGAATGCAGGCCCTGTAGAGACAGGATGGAACAAAACAGGTAGTGCACGCCTGCCTCCTGCTCAGCATATGCACTTGTTACCCCACTGGGCCATCTTGTTGTTGATGGGCATCTTGAAGAAGCGGTCAGACTGCATGTAGGCAGCGATTTTCTCCAAAGCCTGAAGGGAAGCACACCAAACTTTATAAATACCCTAACCCAGTCCAGTAGACCCATATCAAAACAGCAACATTCACATGCTCCCTGCCTCTATCTCTCTCATTTTTTTGCAGACCATATCTTTGGGGTCTAGAAGCCAGCCAGGCCCTTCTCAAGACTTAAAGGTCTAGAGATTTCCAACCATTGTTAACCTTAGGCAAAAGCTGGTGTTGAGCAAGAATCCACGCAATGGGGTCCCTCAGGGCCCAGGGGACACTGTGAGTAGTTTTGTAAGAGAAAGGTACAGGAACCATCACCTCAAAACGGCACATGAAAGCCTTCAGATTTGGGAACTCTTCCAAGCACCTGGGCTCAAACATACGGTTCTGATCTAAGACATCATAGGTGAGAAAATCCACAAAGGTGAGCTAGAAGAAGGAGGGGAATAAGATGGTCAGGTCTGAGGAGTTCATTAACACCTGCAGAGACAGAGAGGTATCCTCTTCTTTTCTCTTCTTCCTACCTTGTCCCCTGCAAACCATAAGTATTTCCCTAGGAACAAGGAGAATTGTTTCAGTTGTCCAGGTAGCTGTTCCAAGTACTGAGGCTTCAGTTTTTCCTGAGGGATAAAGAGAGCACAAATAGCGGTCATTATCTTCACAGATGATCAGGGCACAGGCCAGTGATGGTCACTCAGCAGTCCCTTCTCCAGGTGCCTTCTCACTGCCTTCATTTGGAGGTGGCAGGATGGGAAGGAGGTGTTTGGAAAGGAGGAGGTGCCAACAACAGAGTTACATGACAAAACAATCCAAAAAACAAGAGTTCTGTTTCTTATTCTGACATACTGTGTTGGTGGGGAGATAGCGGTAGTAGAATGGAGAAGAGATAACCTTTGGGTTCCTAACGCTCCGTTCCCTGCTGATGCGTACTAAGGAAACTCACATGTTCAGAGTTGTAACAGAGCCGTATCAGTTGCGTGCGGAGATCCATCACTTGGTTCTCCATAATGTCCACTCGAATCTTTTCTTCTTCAGTGTCACCACCTGTAGGCCAAATGAAAACAAACCACCCTCGGAATCATCCACCCCCAGGCAAACAACCAGCCTGGACTACCTCACCAGCTCTACCCCACTCACACATGTTGTGCTTGCGGGCGATATAGCGCAGGATGGCGTTGCTCTGGGTGATCTTGTTCTTCCCATCCATGAGGTAGGGTAGCTGAAAGGAAAAGAACAAATCAAACGAACAACCTACCTTTCTCTGGCTTCCCTACCTCTCTCTCCTGGGTAAGTGCAGACGTGCAGGGCAGTGAACAGGAGAGAGAAGATGCCATGTTAGGAGAAAGAAGAAAGCAAGTATAAGGTAGCAATTGGGTCTCCACAGTGATTCTAGACAGGGGTTCTTAAATCTGTGTGTATGTGTGCCTGTATGTGCATGCCATGAACCCTTTTATCAGAATAAAACTTTTAAGTGCATAAAGCAAAATACATATATTTACACAATTATAAAATATTTAAAAAATATTAGAGTAATATGTGCCTATTAAGAAATACATTAAATAACAAGCACATAACTACCATAATTTCAAGTAGTGATGAATATATATAACACTTAAGATATCTGCAACACATGTGATAGAATATGTAAACACCTGATGTCTACCAGTGACAAAGTCGCAGACAGGGCTAATAACTGATGCTGCTTACTGCTTATCTTCACAATAAAAGGAAATGTTAACGTTTTGTTAGTGGTTAGTGGAAATGAAGATGCAATTCTTCCCCCCATTCTATGATGCCTGCATTCTTTTTATCTTATCCAGGTTAAGAGTCGCTATTCTAGGTCCTCTTGGTTCAGGGAGGGAAGAAACAGGATATACTTAAAAGCCTTCCCTTCTGCCCACTCTTCTAAAGCTACCTACATTAGGAAAGTCCAGGCCTAGCTTGAATTTCACATCCAGCCATTGGCTTCGATCATAGTCAGGAGCTGTAAGAGACAGAATGAGGTGGGACCCAACCTCCTTAATATCTCACCCAATGAGTGGCAAGACATGAAGAAATGACTTAGTCCCAATATCTCAAATTCCCAGGCCCCAAAAGCGTAACCCTTTAGTCTCTGGGCCCTATATGGGTAAGCATTAAGACGGAGGTAGGCTATAGCAGAGGAAAAATCCCAGCTCCAAGTAAAAGATGCGCCTCTCCCGACGCAGGTCACAGCAGGTGCTCTCACATGCTTGGGACAGACTTCCCACCCGACCTTGGCGTGATGCCACCCTCCGGACACGAGAAGACAGGGGCAGCAGGAGGGCCAGCCTGGCTTAGCGCGCGTTACCTTCCCCGCACGTGTACCGCTTCTCCTCATAGCTCGATTCAGTGAACTCCAGGAGCAGGCGGATGGCGTGCGCCAACTGGGGGAGACAGCCCGGTCAGCGCCTGCGCAGCTCCTACCGGCCCCCAACCCCCGCCCGCCAACGTCCCCGGCCCGGCTGCCGGGACCCTGCAACCTGCCGGGCCGGTCGTTAAGCGGCTTCTGAGCCCTGCCCCGGCGACCCTCGGGCCCTGCGGGCGGGCCCAGCGATCCCAGAGGCGGGGCAGGGGTGAGAGTCCGCGGCCACGGAGCTCGACTGGGGCGGGCCGCCGCGAAAGGGCTCCCGCGGGTAGAGCCGCTTCTCCCCGAGACCGCGGACTGAGAGCCCCGGCCGCCTCCGCTTTTCTGGCGGAGCTGCTCAGCAGTTGAGACGGCACTCACCCCGCGAATGTCCCAGTAACCCAGAAGCATAGACGACTTAGAAGACATCGCGACGCCGCTTGCCAGTCGTCGAGGACCAGAGGCAGAGCGCGAGCGGGCGGGCCTTTATACCCGACGTGAGTGGGCGGGACAAACGTTAGCGCCCTGACTCCGCCCCCTCTGTCCTGGTCCCCTCCCCGCGCGCGTCCATGCGCCTCAATGCGCAGGCGCGACTTCTGCAAGGGGTTTAGGGCTGGGAGACCCCGAGGCAGGGTGCGAGCAGGAGCGCTGCAGGGGCAGTAGCAGCCTGGAAGTTGAGGCTTTGCGCTTCCCCACTGCGAGTTGGGGGGCGGCGGGGATAAGGTGCCACAGAGGAGGGAGGGTGGGAGCAAGCCTGGGAGTCGGCCCGGGCTCTTGACTACACCACGGAATCACCATTTTTCTTTTTTTTAGGGGTGGGCAGTTGGGGAACAGGGTCTCATTCTGTTGCCCAGGATAGGGTGCAGAAGCATGATCATAGCTCCCTGCAACCTTAAATTTATGGGCTCCAGGGTATCGCTATCTTTGGCGCCAATGTTGGGGGGTTGGGAGGGTTTGGGAAAAGAAGGGATGGTGATAAAGCCTTAAAACACTTAAACCCATAAAGTTCTAAGGTAGGAAGTGATTCAAGGTAGGAAGTGTTACCTACTTTGGAGGGGGAGCTCTCTTCTCTCCCGGAGGGAGGGTGGTTCTGAGAGTGCTTCAAGGAGGAGGTGGGCACTTGAGCAAGGCCCCTGAGGTAGGACAGGCCATGGACATTAGGATGCAGGAAAAGGCATACCAGGCAGGAGGATGGCAGAGCAAACGCTGGATGGTGGGAAATGCAAGTGTGTGTAGAAGGAAGTACTGTTGAGTTGGGCTGGTTTATGAGGCTGGAAAAGCATGTTGGGGTCAGGTCGCAGAGGGCAGTGACTACTAGCAAGGGGAGTGTGGATGTTGTTCCTTTGGTCTGTGGGAAGTCTCCCGGGCACAGCTGTCCAGTAGAAATGTAATGCAAGCCACATATGTGATTTAAAGTTTTCTGTTTCTAGTAAAAAGAAACAGGTGAATCAATTTTAATAATGTATTTTATGTAGCCCCATATATCCAAAATACTGTAATTTCAACATGTAATTATAATGAAAATTATTGAGATATTTTACATTCTTTGTACTGTCTTCAAAACACAGTGTATGTTTTACACTTAGACTCATCTCAGTTGAGACTAGCCACACTTCATGTACTCAGTAGCCGCACACAGCTTGTGACTATCAGACGGTGCAGATTTGGATGCTTTGCTGAGGTGTGTGATATTGCCAAATGCTCCTTCAGAGAAATTGATCTACCTTCTTTGTGTGGAGTGAACTGGAGATGGGAAGGTACTGCTATTTGTCATTTACTCTCATTCATTCATCCATTCATCCATCTAACAATGTTTATTAACATGCCCTTTCTGGGAAGGCACTGTTTTAAGTGCTGGGAATACAGAATTGAACTCAACAGACAAAATTCCTGTCTTCAGGAAGCCTACATTCTAATGGGGAGAGGCAGAAATGAACAAATATATAATATCTAGTAAGTCAGATGGTGGTACACAGCTTATGGGGAGAAATTAAACCAAGAGAGAGTGGGGGTCTTGGAATGGGAGTTGAGGGAGTCCCAGTAGGAAGGGGGTTTGTATTTTTAAAGGATGTGTTTATTGTGGGCCTTTAAGCAAAGACCTGAAGGAAGTGAGGGACCAAGCCACTCTGCTGTGGGGGCCACCATGGGTGCAGGAGGCAGGGAGGAGCTCCTGGCAGAGGGAAACAGCAAGTACAGTCATCACTGTATAGAGAGCATTTAAAACAGTAAGACTACCTGAGATCACCATGGGGGTAACAGTAGAAAAGAAATGAGGTCTAAGGGTTTGGGGTGCTGTGGAATGTCAACATTTGGAGGTTGGGGGGAATGAGAGAGAACTGGCAAAGAAATCTGAAAAAAGTGGCCACTGAGGTAGGAGGAAACCCAAGTGTCCTGGACACTAAGTGAAGACGTTTGAAGGAGGAAGTGAGAAGCTATGTCAAATGTGGCTGACAGGTCGAAGTAAGATGACGACTGAGACATAATGGTGGAATTTAGCAATGTGGGGGTCATGGTGACCTTGATAGAGCAAGAGATGTGTAGGAGGCCCTTGTAGTCCTGGGAAGAACTAAGAGCCTGAATTTAAGCAGGGCCCATAGAAATGAAAAAAGGGCACAGATTTGCAACAGTGTCAACCGGAGAGAGACAGCATTTGTCAGTGGACTGTGAAGGAGTGGGAGAGGGACAGAGCTCTCCGAGGGGTTCTGGTCTGGCCTCTCCAGCACAGCCGCGTATTGCACTCAGCCCCTAGAGGCCCTAGCCTGGCGGTGGGAAATCACATTTGCTTATTAGTTAGCTGAAGCAAGGTTGGGACTTTTACAAGGACATTTCACTCAAAAGAAGAAAGGAAAAAAGTGCAAACATATAGGGGCAGATGAATTTGTAATGCCTGGGTTTCACCTTCCAAGATAACAAAAGGCCATTCGCAAATAAAGCCAAGGAATAAGACTAGCATTTATTGAGCACCTATATGATATGCCAGGAAATATCTAGGTGTTTCAGAGATGTTAGCTAATTTGTTCCAATTTAAGCTTCACAACTTTATGAAATAGGCATTATGACCATTTTATAGAAGAAGAAACAAACAGGCCTGGAGAGGTTTAGGTGAATTGCTCTTCTATGCTCAAGGTCCCATGAGTGGTCTGGGATCTAAACCTAGATTTCTCTAGTAACACACGATTAGTGCTAGTTCTATTGCAATTAGATATCTGACCCTCACCTCACTGTTTTGGAAAATCTGGGGGACACCAAGATGAAATACTTTCTTCTGGTCCTGGAGGTTTTCCTTACTTCTAGGGCTCCTTCAGCTCTGTGAGGGTAATGGGTCGATATCTCCTTCCCTATTCCAAGAAATCAACTTTTCTGGATAACTTTTGCCCTTCACAAGTCAGACCCTAAGAGTCTCACCATTTTTCTCTTTTGTGAGGGAAAATTTGTGCTTCCCTATTCTGTGTTAGCAGCTAGGAGAGATGATTTTTATGAGGCCAGGAATTTGAGGGAATGACATAGGCAGACTAAAAATAGGGCAATCTAGGGCCCAGACAATGTCAGGGTCAGGGACAAAGTCAGCTAAGAGAGATTTCAGGGAACATACAAAGAACACTCAAATCCATAAGTACATGGGGCCTTATTTGTAGACTAAATCAATAAAAGTACAGCTACTGTTATGGGGAGAGGGGAGTCCATGACAATCTCTTTTGAGATTAAAGAAGGCTGCTTATACTAAAAAATATAAAGAGCCACTAACCGTCCAAACCCTTCACTTAATCTTTGAGAAAACAGCAGCCCAGAGAGTGGAATGACCTGCTAGAGTTCACACAGCCAACTGGTGGACTTTCAACTTTCAGCCCAATGTTCCTTATGTTCTGCTACTAAAAAGACAAGCCAGGGTGGGAACTCAAGGTCAGCTCACCCAACAGCAAGGGACAGAAGTATTAAAAGAGGAGGTTATCGAGTAGAGCCTGGGGCACCTGCCTGACTTGCTAGTGCTGTGCTGGCTCATCGGCCCATGCAAATGATCAAAACCCACAGCTGCCAGCCGGGCGCTCTTTGCTGCTGTGGATGAAATTGTGCCTTTGGCTGTGCTGGGTGCTTTGACACATACTGGGAGAAATGTATTCGGGATAAGATGGTGAGCATAGCCTTATTTTAGAGTTTGTTTAGAAAGAGTAAGGAGAGGCCGGGCGCTGTGGCTCACGCCTGTAATCCTAGCTCTTGGGAGGCCGAGGTGGGCGGATTGCTCAAGGTCAGGAGTTCAAAACCAGCCTGAGCAAGAGCGAGACCCTGTCTCTACTATAAATAGAAAGAAATTAATTGGCCAACTAATATATATATATATAAATTAGCCGGGCATGGTGGCGCATGCCTGTAGTCCCAGCTACCTGGGAGGCTGAGGCAGAAGGATCACTCGAGCCCAGGAGTTTGAGGTTGCTGTGAGCTAGGTGATGCCACAGCACTCACTCTAGCCTGGGCAACAAAGCGAGACTCTGTCTCAAAAAAAAAAAAAAAAAAAAAAAAGAAAGAGTAAGGAGAGCTTGGCCCACCATTCTCACATTTTGGTTCCCAGCTCCAGGTTGCAGTGTGAATCCCCACTCACACTCAGCCTGGCTCGGTGGCGGGCGGATGCAGGATTGCGGCTGTGTCATGCCCAGCACCCCCTGCCTCTCTGCTTTTGGCCCCCATCAGGTCCACAAGAAGCTGTAACGGAGGCAAATGTCAAGTGCGAAGATGCTTTTATTGGGAAGGAGAGGGACTGAACAGGCTCCTGGCAAGCTTAGGCAGAAGTGCACTAGGCTCAGGAGAGAGAGAAAATAAATAGGTAGTAACTGGGGAGGGCTCACAACACAGCCAGAAGGGGCATCATTTGCTTCGGCCTCTGGGGCTACTCATCGTTTTTGCCGCGTGAGCCAGGGTGTGGGGTTTACTGCAACCTGGGGACCTGGAAGAGGACTTCTCAGTGCTCGAAAGGGTGTCAGATCTGCCATCTTGCATGTGAGGGGCACTTGGTCTTGGAGGTGTCTAAGCCGGTGCCTAATGGCTCATCTGAAGAAAAAAGATTTCAGATGAGGCTAGTGTCAGGTGAGGGACCCCCAGAGCTCATGCCACCAATAAGCGTGGTGCCTCAGGGCATGCCCGAGTGCATGAAGCTGAGCCCCGGGAGGAATATCCTGTGCCCAGCACCTGCCACGCTCAGTCCTGCCCCAGGGCTGGGCCTACAGGCTTGTCTGCCCACACTCTGTCTCTCACCCAGGGAGGACCAGACCCTCCCAGTGGGAGTCAGGACCCCAGCGTGTCCTCACCCCCAGCATCCTTCTGACAGCCTCCAGCCGTGTCAGGACCCGTGGGGCCTCCTGTGGACACAGCAGCTGTATCTCCCCGGGTCTCATGCGAAGCAGCTGGCTCCCTGTTAAGGCCCCGAGGGTCCTCACCGTGCTGTGAACAAAAACGGCAGAAGCCTTCCGTGGTAGGGTAGAAGGACCCGGGCGCAAGTATTCGGGTAAAGGAGGGGCTTGGAGGTTGGGGTTATAGGAGAATTC